ACAATGCTGCCAAGCTTCGATACGGAACATTGATGACGTAGGAATAAACACAAAAAGGTTTGAGTGGCCGAAACACTTAGTCACACAACATATTCTTTGGTATAAACGCTAGACTAAAATCACATTCGAGAGTTGGGTGAGGAGCATCCAACTTCACCATGATTACTAAACAATAAGTCCAAAAAATTTCGATATTTATTTGGAATCTGATTGTTTTGAAACAAACCAATAAGCAGCACAATCAGATACCTATCACAATCACAGTAACTTCATTTGTCAGCCTTCCAATTGTTTTTTTTTTTTTTTTAGGCAAATTAAAATCGCCCCTCAAAATAATGTCCGTAAAGTTGGTTTCATCCACCAGATGCATCACGGAGGGACATAAACTTTCATATACATACATATCAGAGTTGCCAGGAATATAAGCATTACCAATCAATATTCTGCGATCTCCAATTGTCACCAATACAAATACATGTTCAACATTGACAAATGGTGTGCCTATTTTTCTATACTGAGTCTTTGAATGATTCGACGAACCCAAAATGAGATTTTTTCCTGCATTTTCCTAGCAGTTATCGGAATAGTCTCGATGTGGTCAATGGAGCATTAGTCTTCGTGAATATTGCTTGTTCTGGGCTGGTAAATTTCAGTTTTTGACTCATGCATCTGGATAACTTGGATAAGATTCGAATAAGCTCAAATTTTTGCTGCTTTATGCGGCTAAGATGCGGCCCTGCTCCAGGTTCTTATTATTGAGAAAGACAAGGACCGCTTCTTTCAGTAAGTATTTGAGCCGTATGATGGTCTTCTCAAGGGGCCTTACGTTTTTTTTATAGATCCTAGAGCCTCTTCTAGTTTTAGGGTTACATCCTGCGATTTTACGATTGAAATCTGAGTTCTGATCTCTCTTCAGAGCTTGGACGTCGGACAATACTCACAACCACAGCCCTCTGATTTCACTGTTTCTTGCACGTTTCTCATTTTTCTTATGGTCAGTTTACCTTTCGATTCCTGGGGATTGTAATGGACCAATGGCCTCCATGTTGCCTTCAATTGCTTACCGAATGAGATAGGTGGTGTGGATTCTGGGATCTCTTTTCATCTCCCTTTTTCTATTGGCAGAATAGTAGACAAGGCAAGGCGCACGCTTTTTTGTAGATTTACTGTACTTAATAGTCAGTCTATATCTAGAGGACAGTAGGTACTTGTTTGGGACATTTGCTCAACATCTCTCTCTATGCCTGTTTAAGAGGACTGTGACCTGAACGCAGCGCCTTAGATCGCGCGGGAATTCTCCTGATCTACCGTCATGACTGCCAGGCCCTTTCTCCTTGAATTGACGTCATGGATACTAAAAGAAAGGCTGCCTATTGTCTGTTGACTGGCCTGCTGCCAACTGCCTTTCTTGTGCCTTCGTGGAAAGTAGCTGCACTCGAAGTGCTCCTCTTTATACTACTTTATAGAAATCAGCAGAGCGGCCGTTTGAGGGATAACTTTGACGCTCTGAATTAGTCTGAATCAGCAGTTGTCGTAAAGCACCAATCATCCTGTTCCTGATCTTTCTTTATTCGCTTGCCGGATTTTTCTTTTCTACATTTTGTAGATCCATCCCCGGCTTCCTTTATAGGTCTGTTCTCACAAGAGTTCGTTTACCAATTGAAGGCTGAGAGTCATAAGAAGGGAAGCGAGGTCTCAACCGTACTCTACAATCGCGCTTAAAATGTCCTCTTCTTCCGCAGCCGTAACATTCAATGCTTCCTTTCAAGTTTCAGTTTGATTCTGATAACAGACTTCCGTAACTCTTCCAGAAACTCCTTTCATTATGATGCCGCTAATTTATCCCATTGGCTCTTTTTCTTCACGAATCGACACAGCTAGTTGACCAGCGCAGCATTCTCTGTACATTCATATCTCTAATTCCATATACAAAATTTTCGGTCACTCTTTGATGTCGCATTTCTGCTGCTGCTTCCGGATTTCAAACTCTTGTAAAGCTTTCCACAGCTTTCTGTTGTCTTGTTCTTAGCTGCACCTGGTAAAGCTTCCTTTGCCCACGATGTCCGATCGTCGTATAGGTAGTGGTTTACCTTCAACATTTTAACTTTTCAATCTTCTTCTCAAAACTACCAATTTCTTTGCGAGTAGTTCCAACTTTTTCACAGACTTCTTCCATTGCATTCGTGAATTTATTATCTTGTGTACTTCCAGAATTGCCGAGAGTCTAGTTTTGTTCCTCAGAGATTACGGTTTGTATCCATTCACGTTGATATTTGAAATTTTTCTGAAGCCAGTCCTGTTCTTTTTGCCTTTGGTCTTCTTCTTGTTGTCTTTCTGTTTGCCTTCGGTCTTCTTCTTCTTCTTCTTGTTTTTCTTTCTATCTTTGATCTTCTTGTTGTAAAACTGCTGCAAGTCGGTTTTGTTCTTTCAGTTTTTGATCTTCTTTTTCTTGTCTCTTGTCGTCTAAATCTTTCATGAGGTCCGCCAATATTTGATCAACTTGCTCCATTTCAGCTGTTTACTATTGTGTATTTTTGTATTTACCATGGAGTATTCTGTATATTTCTTGAATCTAAAGTTCTGTGGCGAAGTTAAATATCCAACTGAACACGATGGAATGTTCTACAGAAATTAGTCTACGGATTTGTTTTTCGATGTCGAAATCAGTGATGAAGATGAAGTCAATATTCTTGTATCGATCACGGTTTCCGAATAGAATTTTATGGAAGTTTCTAGAATTTTCCAGAAGATCCGCTTTTAAGCTTGATTTTCAATGTAACGAATTAGTAACAATATCTTGCAAAACGACCCAAATTTAGTTCACAAAAAACATTCCTATCTTCAAGCAAAGGCTGAAGCCCAAAGAAGAGCAAAAATGCTGAAAAACGAAAGGCGTTGGGCAGCGAAGCAGCCTCTAACAACACCAAGAGAAAATCAAGAATTTAAAGAAAAAAGGTAAAATCAATAAGAGCCTGGAATAGTAAAAATAATAAAAATTCAAGAATTTGAATTGAAAGAGAAACATTTTCTTGCTAATATTTCCTTATTATTACTTATTTCATAACAGTCTATTCCAGGCGCTAGGCTCTCTGAAATAATTCTGAGGATTTAAAATTGTTCTGGAAAGCGTTTTGCAATGTTCTAAATGGCTTATTGGAGTTCTAAAATTTTCTTACTTGGCTTGAAGAGTTCTGGAGCATTCTAGAAGTGTTTCAGTAATTTCTAAAATGTTCTGACAAATCTTTAGACCATCTATTGAAGCTGCAAAGTGTTCCAGAATTGGTTCAAAAGAGTTCTAAAAGGTTTCCAGTTCTATAAATTGAATTCTAATTGTTCTAAAATAACTGTCAGTTTTCTCAATTGTTCAAAAATGCTCTTGAAAATTCTGATTTGGATGTTTCAAACTTCTGAATTGTTCTGAAATGCTTTTGGAAATTGTAAATCGGTTTTTGAATGTTTTGGGGCATTCTGAAATGTTTCTGAAACTTCTAAAATGTTCTGAAGCGCTACAGAATGTTTTTGGTAATTCTAAATTGAACTTTGAATGTTTTGAACTTTCCAAAAAGCTTATCAAAATTCTAAAGTGTTCTAAATGGTTTCCAGTAACTTCTAAATTGAATGAGAAATAAATTATGTAGAACATCTTAAAGACGTCTCTAAGATGTCCATAAACAACATTCAAGACGTCTTGCTTACGTCTTGGCGTCTCAGACATCTTGAAGACGTCGGCGTCGTATGTTACAAAATCCAACGTGTTTCAGACGTCTTCAGGACTAAGACATGCTAAAGACGTCTTCAACGAGATGATGTCTTGAAGACATCTTTGAATCTCTTTTCAATACATAAACCATTATTCACTTTTGGGTCTGGTTGTACCAAATAGTTGTCTTTAAGATGTGAATTTACGACATCTTATTGACATCTTCAAAACAATGCCTTCTAGACGTCTTTTTTTGGTTTTCAGACGTTCAGACGTAATGTAGACCTAAAAGACGTCTTTAAGACATTTGTGTGCTGTAGATGATGATGATTTTCAGGCGTTGCAGCTGCTATTGTTTGTTTCACGTTGTTGTACTTACGTCATCTTTTGCTTTTTTTAACAAATAAAAATTAACTGTTGTTGAATTCTCCTTCTATAAGTAAAGCTCGTGTGGTGGTCAGAATATTCGAGGCGGCAAACTTTGTAGACGCTTTTTTCTAAACACCATTTTTACTATACTTCCGCTATATTTTATTACAACAGTAGATAATATGTTTCACTACACTTAAAGTTCATCAGACTCTGTAGTGGAATATGTGGCTGTTGTGATGTTGCGATAAGTATCGGCTCAATCAATTCAAATATTAAAATATCTTTCATCATGGATGACACGTCATATCGGAAAACTGATAAGAGTGTTCATAGACTATCAACGATAATCCAAAAATACAACGTTTCATAAGTACAATTCAAATAATGAAAACTTTGCGTAAAGTAAAGCTTCAGAGAATAAGAGAAATTTGTTGAAAATATCCAAATCTGTTATGCCTAACTTTCCTGAAAGAGAAATATGTACTTGAAAGAGAATTTGAAAACAACCTTTTCACCTAGTGTGCAGCAGAAGATCCATCTTACGCAAAGTGTATAAAAGTTTTCAGAAACATACCTAATAGAAGCTACGGATAGTTGTTCGAAAATGTTCGGGTAGCTCAAGGTCGGAAAATTCGAAACCTACGGATTGTGGCCGGTTGAAGATTCGTTTGTAGAACGTAGAACTCTTCGAAATCTTAACCCTATCTCGATACTTCGATACCGTTCGAAAATATGCGTGAACTGGACTAAATGTGAATGTTCTTCTTGAGTTGCCCCTCCGCCCCAATTTGATATAATGCAAGGTTTTCATAAGTCAAAAAAATTGTACCTGACTTTTGAAGATATAGCGCGGACGTTATATGTCTTTGATTTTTCAAGTTCTATCCAAGTGCATATATTTATTAAAACCGAAGATTAAAACCTTTACCTTCAATGGTCGAATACAGAAGCAGCATATCCGCATCCAATTCGTTAACAATAAATGATTCAATGTTAACCAATTTCGCTGAATCTTCTTTGAAAACGAAACTGTCAGCGCCATCCACTGTGGTATAGTAATCACCTTTGCAAGCCTGGAAAATGAACATCTTAGGCTTGTGTTTTAACTCTGCGCATTTGTTGAATTTAGTCCAAACTTCGCTGCACTTAAATGTGCCATCTCTAGCGTGCAGCTCATCATTATTGTGTCCGTGTGTTAGAAAAATGATAATTAGGCAGTTTGCTTCACGAAGTGAAGCTTTATCTTCTAAAACTACAAAACAAAATTTGAAAAAAAAACTACAAAAAAAAGTTTTTACCATTTTTAATTTTTTGTTGAATTTCAGCTACCGTCGAATCAAGCAAAAGATCTCCTTCGTGAATATTGAATCCTAATCTTTGGAAGCACGTTAGAATTTCATTAACATCCCTACGTGAACCACGTCTGACTTTTATATTATGGTCATCATAAAATTCGTGATTAAATATTATTACTTTTCCCGGATTCGATCCATTACGTTCATACTCAAATACGCCCAAGTTGAAGTTTTGGGGTTCGATAAAAGAGGGAAAATCTGAAAGTAATGAATTTTGGTGTAGGTATATTTTAATGAGCGTTATTTACCTTTTGTAGTTTTATTCACTTCCTTCACTATTGGTTTTTTTGGACTTCTTGGCGTAGGTTCTTTGGGTGAATGCACCTTAATACTAGTGGTATTAAAGGGTTTTGTGTCGGTTTCTAAATTGAATCGCGAAGTCATTTTCTTTGTTTTTTTTTGTTTGTTTGCAATCGTTTTATCGAAAAATGCTTTATTTCGTTATGCGTGTTTTATTAATCATCGAGTAGTATTTAATCCCAAATTCCATTATCTAATAAAAAATCTTTCTTATCTTCTATCGAGTTTTATTAGTAATGGGCGAGATTATCGATGAAATTTATATCGATGACTACAATGGAAACTAGTTTATCCATGTGTAAAGTTGTTCGATGTTTTCTTTGTATTGGTTCAATAATCGGAATTTTTTTTAGGCTGGCTAAACACCTTTAAGCACATTCTGGTCAACTTTGCTTGAAAAATGCGATCGTGCGATTTCTTCCGGTTATCCATCCACCAACTTTTATAAAATATATCCATGTGCGTTAAACAATTATTCCGGTTCTGCGTTCGTTATCGCCGGATTTTAATTGCACCTGAAGCACCCCGTCAAGGGATTAGCATAAAACGGTCATTAGAATTACGGGAAAATCAAGATGTTAATGCACCAGCAACAGTTTAACAAAAGAATGGGGCGGACACGATAACTTTTTTATTTTAAAAACCCATTAATCTCCCCATCGCACTTGTAAATTAACTTTTTATGTATTGTATTTTTTAACGCTTGTAACATTAGTATATTTAGACGCTTCGTGAGTGACAAATTAATTAGATTTTAGATTTTATCCAGATAGGCTCTTATAGGTTACAGTCTTTCGTCAAAATCAATTAGGAATATTTCAAACACTCTTGAATTATTTGTTAAATCTAGGGGAGATCTGAGGGGAAAAAAGTGAAGCTTTGTATAACTTTATCTAGAGTTGAAAAAACTCCGGAGGCACTGCCTGATTGTCGAAAGTTGATGGCAAGTTGTAATGGATGTCCTGTTTTACTACTAGGTTCATGATTAAGATTTTTGTGAAGGTTTTGAATATCCACTAATTTTCTCCGAAAAATTATTTTCTATATTCGAAAATCGATCATGAAATTTTTTTATCTTGTTTAAGTATCTAGATTTTCATTAATTTATAGTTTGTTGATTTTTGTTTAATTTTTGAATGTATGAGTCATGTCCATATATCTACTAATAATTTCATATCGAGGACTTATTCTGTCTCTCTAAGGGTTTATTAAAAATAGGTGCTTTTTGTGTGCCCAAGAAATTTATGGGTTTTTCAAAAAAATTTGCGAGGGCAGTCTGATTTTTCCAGGGCTGATTGGAGTCTGTGTCCTGAGTATTGAGCCAAAAAATCACACTCGAAAGCCTTGTGCATTCTGCCCTATTGGCCTTTTTCTTATTTATTTTTTTTTCGACAAAATAACCTCAACAAAACTTGTAGATAATTACATTCTGATCAACTTTGGCTTATGCCTTTTTTTGCTAGCTATTTTAGTTTAGGCGTTGCGGCCATTTTAGTGCTTCAGAATTCGCAAAAAAATTAAATAGCAAACCTGCAGATTATTGTACATAATAATGTGTTTTTTTCCCTAAAAAGGTCCAAGTATATGGATTCTCAAGTCTTGCTGGCCGTTGGATGGGACCAGTGCAAGGACGTTTACGTAAACAGCTACGTAGGCCGTGTTTATGTTGAAGCTGTGATAAAAGCTATGAGAGCGTCGGTAATAGCGGTGGTAAGAACTATTCAAAAGTAGCCTTCCTCAATGCGAGATTTATTGTGGTGTCTCCTATCTGTCCTTAAAGTGCGTTCTCTAGGCCCTTCTTTTTATTAGACTAACTCCAGAGCAAGGATACTGGCCACTCCATCTAGCTTGCCGGATTGGGCTTTACCTCTTCTTGTTTTTAAAAAATTAGTGATTCTGATGAAGAATTTTTACTTTTATCTCCAAACGCTGCAAAATGGTATATCGAAAACCACTTTCGTAAAAAACGTAACCACTGTGCACATCCTATCAACGGACTTCGGAAAAAATTTGGAGAATTTCATCATTTATATAATCAGAGAAAATTTGTGGAAATCTTTTTTAATTCCACAAATTTCCCTTGTAATAGTATATTTCATTACCAGTCCAGAAAAATCCATTTCTGGACGTGTAATGAACGATATTTTTTATTATACTTACCTGAAAACGATAAAAACAGAAAATTCCCATTTTTTAGAATGGCATGAATTTTACAGAAAATGAAATGTTAAAAAAGGTACAGTCGTGAGCATTGAAAGTGGGACACCCAACTCACAGGTCTTGTCATTTTTCGCTATTTTGGGTAAATCAGTCTTTTCTTTACAATGGTTTTTTTGACAAATATGACAATCCCTGTCATTGCCGTAAGTATAGCTGGTGAGTTCGTTTTACAATAGGAAAAAATGGGTGTCCCAGTTTCAATAGTTTCAATGCTCACGACTGTACATAGGTAAATGATGTTTGTCACAGAAACTTAAATCATTTTTTATTTTTCGGGGTGCATTTATAATAAGATATCTTTGTTTAATTTCTAATGAATGACAAGGATGCAATATTGACTGACGTCTAATCTGTTTAGCGCACGGAAACAGAGATCGGGAAAAATTTTCTGTGCGTTATTCTGGAAATGTCATCTTTACTTTATTGTAAAGACAGGTGGAAAAGAGGTGTTTTCAGGTAAGTATAATAAAAAATGATTTCACCGGATTAGTGCTGTAATGTATCATTCCCTGGACTGAAACCGATAACTTAATGGAGTATATTACCAGTATGAAATAAATGTACATTTTAGTGTTTTACTTTAGGTGGGTGTTGTGTGGAATCGCGCTCTTTTCCTAGATGGACACGGTGCAGATATTTCAGGCGGGTCGTCGCAGTCGGCAATGGTCAAAATATCGTCATTGCTTGTCGCGCTCGTTGGCGAAGGTTCATCTGCTTCTATATCGTTGATATCTTCGTCGTCGTTGTCATTTTCCTCTTCGGCAAGTGTTGGTAACCGTGGAACGCTTTCGCAGGTTTTCCCTGCACAATTTTCACAAATCGCTGAGCACTTCAGCCGGCTTTACGATAACCGCAAGCGGATCGGCATGGTGTTTCGCATTTGCAGGAAATGACATTCAGCAATGCTGGTGGAACTGGTTCTTTGCGTGTCTTGCAGGGCATCCAGCCTGCACTATGCTTTTCCCAACCCCACTCTTTTGGATCTAGGTAATTTGTGACGTAGACCTTACAAAACATTTGTAACGCAAAGAGTCCAAAGAATATTCCTTTATGCTCCCTCCATACAAAGCAATCATTACACGCTCTCCTGCAAAGGCCACCGTTTGAGGATCGCATATTTTCCTGTAGAAGGACGATATAAAGTTTTCCAGTGAGGGCTCTTCCTCAACTGTGGATATCAGTTTTGCCTTTCCCACACCAAACAAGTAGGATGTGGTATCGCATCCACTGAAGGCATGTATAAAGCGAATGCTTTGCTGTATTATTTGTGAATGCTTGCAGCATCTTGCTGAGTAAATGTATTCCGCCGTTCGAGTTCTAGCGAGTTTCCTAAAAAAAACGTTGATAGTTGTTGTGGAAGACAAGCCGATCAATAAAACGAGGAGGTCGATGTCTTCACCAATTATGAACACGTTTTCAAACAGACATGACCTTTCTAGAACGGTGGTCACGATCAAACTATCGCCGTCCTCTACAGCTTCCAAGAATTCAATTTCTGCTCGTTTAAGGTGCGCTGCAAGGAAACGAATGAATCTTTTTTTGTTTTTCTCGTTACCAATAAATTTTTCTTGGCTCGTTTGCGGCACGGTGACTTCGTCAAACATATAGTCAGGGCAGGCGCGGATCCAGGGAGGGGCCATGGGGGCCATGGCCCCCCTAGATAAGAAAAAATAATTTTAAAAATCAACATTAAATCGGCCAATTTTTCCGGGTTTACCAGAACCCGTATATAACAGAATTTTATTTCATAGCGCCATTCTATCATGGACCTCTAGCCTATTCTATTTGTATGTAGTATGTACAGGCTGTCTGGTTATAATTTGACACCTCACCTGCAGCCTTTACATTTACAGGTAGATGATAGGTGTGAACACAAAAGTTGTGCAGTTTTAACTAAATTTTTAGAATCCATCGTCAAAAACAAAATTTTATTGTAAGAAATTTGAAATTTTGCGTACTTTCAACTTTTCTAAATGAAATGCCCTATAGTTGCTTCTAATATTTAGTTTGTCTATATTTGTTTGAGCCGCCTTCAACATATTTAACACTAAAAATTGAAAAAATTCTATCCTACTGATGATTTTATGAACCATTCTGATAAAAGCTTCAGGTAAAATTTGAGGCACTTGGGTTTCTCTGATGGTATTTTTGAAATTTTTGAAGCCAAATATGGTGCAGACGGCTCAACTAAATATAGATAAACTTCATATTTTTGGAATCGGAAAATTGTGCTCTTCAAGAATATAGAATCAAATATAAGGCATTCTATTTGAAAAGAGTTGAAAGTACGCAAAATTTCAAATTTCTGAGAATAATTCAGCTAAAACTGCTCCACTGTTGTGTTTAAACCTATCATCTACCTATAAAGGTGGGGTGTCAAATTATAACCAGACACTTTGTACCTTCCAATATTTTGTATGCCCCCCCCCCTTAATTTGGGTCTGGATCCGCGCCGAGTCAGGGGCCATCTGCTTATTTGCACGTCTTATAATCGTTCATGGGTTTTTGTTCGCCAGTGTCGTTCATCATCAGGATACCCGTGGAAAATAATAATAACATGTGGAACAACGTGTCTTCTAATATACTGAACGTATTCAGTGCAAATCTGTCCTACCGTGACCTGTTTATTCCACACTACTTTATGAAGCAGCCAGCCGCCGTCCACAACTTCACAACAATGTTTACTAAATGTAAAGTCTGGACCCAAAGGTGCGAAAGAAGCGTACAGGGTGGACTAAGTTCCCTTGCGCATACCTTCTTCTGTAAAAATGGACATAGGATACGGAGCAAGCTCATAGGAAAAAAATTGCTTCATATCGCTGTCTGATTTTTTGGAAATACACATTCGTTGAAATAGAGTTAAAGGATTGATAATCACATTGGCTTTGTCGATTTTTATGGTATTGGCAACGGCAGAGAGC